AAATCACAGTCAAAGGATTTTAAATAAATATTTCTAAGTTTAGTGTTAAGACCTCTCACGTTTTGATAGAGAAGAGATAGAGATTTAGTTAGTTTTTTGACAATGGTACAACTGAAAGATTAACTGGTAAATTAACGGGGTTTGTTCTTTTCCTAAATACAAATTCCTTTACCAACAATCCATCCGGCCAGAACGTTCTATTAACTATTAAATTAAATAATTTAGCAGGAGTAATGATTTTAAATGATGAAATATCGCGAGGTTGGGACTTGTTAAATTTAAAAATTTTTATGCCATTATCAGGTAAATTTGGAATTTTTGTTTTTATGTAAGACCGAAGGTTATCAACTGTAGTATCGGGATGCAATCGAGACACAAATATAGTTTTACGCGGCGCTACAACAATAAGTTGATCCGTAGGCAAATATTTACTCAGTTTATTCGTTTTTACATTTTCATTGCAAAAAAATAATGAATAACAAAAAACTTGACCCGGAGAGTAAAAATACCGACTGTCTCCCTCATTTCGCTCTCAGCTTCCATTTGTAAATTTTATCGAGTCAACGAACACTCCTATTGTAATGTAATAATTTATACCAAAAGAAACAACAAAAACAAAGAAACAACTTTTTACATTGATTTTAATAAATGAGAAAAAATCGAATACTGAATGAAAATTGAAAATTTCTTTCTTTAGAAATCATATTCTACATGGTGAGATGAAAAAACTGCAACCAACTTCAGACTGCTGTCATTTCTAAGCCACTCATCCGACAGCTGTTAATATTATTCCAGTGACAGCTCATTATATTGTTTACAAGCGTAAAAAAAGCATTTTGGTGAAAATTTTACAGAAAAAAGTTATTCGTGATGGAATTCAAGCGTGATAGTGTAATTTCTTTATATTTGGCTGGAAAACAACAAGTGGCTACCGCTAGAGCACTCCAGCATTTAAATGTGAATAAATCTTTTGTGTCTCGTACCATCGCTCGTTACCGTGATACTGGTAGCGTATCCCGACGCCAAGGAAGTGGACGGAAGATAACAGCAACATCAGCAGGCTCGTGAGCCGAACATATCGCAATATTCCATTCTGCAAATATTGAAACATGAGTTCGGGGTAAAACCATTAAAATTCCAAAAAGTGCAAGAACTACAAAAACAGAAAGAAAATAGACTCAAAAGAGCTAAAGAGTTGCTTCGCTTGGCCGAAAGTGGTGATCTGCCGAATTTGGTTTTCTCCGATGAAAAAAGAGACGTTGTCCAGCAGGTTGTAAACAAACAAAATAATCGTGTTTACTTGCCAAAGAAGTCAGCTGAAAATGTGCACCTTCGGTTGGCCACCAGAACTCAAGCGCCGGCTTAATCGACCGCTCGTATTAATCGACCGTGGCATCAGAATAAATGCCGAATATTATCGTGAAAATATTCTGGAGGGTGTATTAAAGCCTTGGGCACGCAAACAGTTTTGCCGCAGACCTTGGACATTCCAACAGGTCTCAGCACCATCGCACTCAGCACGCGCCAACCAAGAATGGTTACAAAATGAGGTTTTCGCTTTATTTCCAGCGCATAATGGCCACCAAAATCTCCGTATACCAATTCGTCTGGAGTATTTTGGAAAGCAAGGTTGGCACTAAAAAAAAAAATACCAAAGTGTCGATCACCTCAAGCAACCGGGAGCGTGTGACGGTTTCATTGGCCGTTTGAAGGCCATAATTCGTCCCAAGGGTGACTAAAATTTGATGCTATTTCCGACATTTTTTGCTTTCATTCAATAACATTTAAAACAAAAATGTAAAAATCTGGCGTTTGACTTTGTTGTAGTTATTTTATCTCACCCTGTATATATATTCTTGGCCGATTTCACATATTTGACGCACCAATTTCAATGAAATATGGAAGGTGTGACGATTTTTTTAGTAAAATAAAAAAATGCCTCTCCACTTCAATAGATTGTAGTTTCCTGCACACTTGGCATTTGCTATAAAATTAATAAATCCGAAGGACAAACCCTTCCTGTATGCGGACTAAATTTGGCATGTTCCTGCTTTTCTCATGGTCAGCTGTTCCTGTCATGTTCACGCGTTGGTAACCCGAGCTATTTGTTTATTTACGCATTAATTTTTGTTTTTTTTTTTTTTTTGTTAACAAATATTCAGATATAAAATTTTGAATGCATATAAAATCAAAAGGGGTAGCGAAGCGCAATAGTTTTAGCTAGTTCTATATATTTATAAAGGTGAGAATACATCAAACGCTTTTTTGACTGGCTTAAATCATCAGTTAGCTAAAATATTGACATGGCAATAATTTTTGTTCTATCAAAATACCAAATTGTAACCAAAAATGTGACAAAAAAAACCTTGAATATACCTTAAGTACTTAAAAGAATTCATATTCTTTCTATTATTCGCTGTTATTTTTAACATTGTCAACATATTTCATTTCATAACATTTCATAAAGGCCTAGCCATCACTTCAAGCTTTTTATGTACTTGCACCTTTATTGTCATTTATTTGGTATTTTTCCTGATTTTTCAAATGCCAATTCCATAGCGCATACGTCACATAAATCGTATTACTAAATGCAGTTGATATTATTTGACGCATGCGCTATGGATGTGACATTTGAGATCGAGTTGATTTCATAAATCTAAAAGTACTTTAAGGCGAAATATGGAAGAAATACCTGAATTTTCGTTTAAAAACATGATCCAAAGTTTTCAATTGTATTCAATTTTATTCCTTTGGTGCCCTTATTCAACACATTGTGTAATCTATATCTATAAAAGAGGAAAATGTTTGTATGTTTGTTTGTTTGTAATTTATGGACTCGAAAACCGCTGAATAGATTTTCCTGAAAATTTCCATATATACTGCAACATCGCCTGAAAGTAACATAGACTATATACATTTTTGAATTTCCACTTGGAACTGGAGATATAGCATCAGAATCGGAGGTACCTCCCAAAAATTTAGATTTTATATGCACATATCTATTGATTGGTTGAAGATACAGTCTCCAAATTTGGAATACGTAACGGAATTTGGAACAAAAATAAGTTTGCCAAATTATATTGTAATCGGTTCAGATTTGGATATAGCTCCCATATATATTTTCGACCGATTTCGTTCATTTGATGCCTCAAACACAATATGAATGTTCGATTCCAATGAAATTTGGAATGTGTGACGGGATTTAATCCGAAAATAAATTTGTCAAATTATATTGAAATCGGTTCAGATTTGGATATAGCTCCCATATATATTTTCGGACGATTTCAAGCATTTGATGCACCAAACACGCTATGTATCCCCAATTTCAATGAAATTTGAAACGTGTGATAGATTTTATCTAAAAAATTGATTTCCCAAATTATATTGAAATCGGTTCAGATTTGGATATAGCTCCCATATACATTTTCGGCCGATTTCATGTATTTGGTGGACCAAACACGACATGTATTTCCAATTGTAATGAAATTTAAAATAAGTAACGGAATTGGGAGCCAAAATGAATTTGTCAAATTAATTTGAAATCGGTTCAGATTTGGATATAGATCCCATATATATTTTCGACCGATTTCATGTATTTGATGCACCAAACACGCTATGTATCTCTAATTTCAATGAAATTTGGAATGTGTAGCGGAAATTAAAACAAATATACATTTGTCAAATTATATTAAAATCGGTTCAGATTTGGATATAGTTCTCATATATATTTTCGACCGATTTCATGTATTTTATGCACCATACACGATATGTATGTTCGATTCCAAAGAAATTTGGAATATGTAACGGAATTTTGATTAGAAAATAAATTAGTCAAATTATATTAAAATCGGTTCAGATTTGGATATAGCTCCCATATATATTTTCCGCCGATTTCACATATTTGATGCACAAAACACGATACGTATTTCCGATTCCAACGAAATTCGGCATGAGTGGTTAAATTTGGTACAAAAATAAATTTGACAAATTATATTCAAATACGCTCAGATGTGATTATAGCTCCCAAATATATACTCAGCCGATTTCACATATTTGATGCACCCAAAGCGAGAGAGACAAAATCTGGCAAAAAAAATTGCCAAGTTATATTGAAATCAGTTGAGGTTTGGATATAGCTAACATATATATTTCGGCCGATTTCATACATATTATGCACCAAACACGATATATATGACCGATTCCAATGAAATTCAGAATGTGTGGCGGAATTCGGTTATAATAATAAATGTGATAAATTAATTGGAAATTAGTTAAGATTTGGATATAGCTCCCATATATATATTCTCGACCGATTTCACATATTTGACGCACCAATTTCAATGAATTATGAAAGGTGTGGCGGAGTTTTGTGTAAAAGTAATTTTTTTAAAATTATATTTAATTCGGATCAGATTGGGATATGATTTTAATAAGAACCATTGACCCACAACGCCTTAGGCTAAAACAAAAAAAACAACACAACAATTTATTTGAAATACGCTTATTACGGCGAAGTATGTTGCTATCTCGAATTCACTAATTGCAATAGAAATGCCACTCTACTTAAAAAAATTGCAGTTTCCTGCACGCTTGGTATTTGCTATGAAATAAATAAATCCAAAGGACAAACCCTTCGTGTATGCATGTCATGTTACTGCTTTTGTAATGATTTTGTTTATTAACGCATTAAATTAGCGCAATATTTTTTTTTAATTTTTAAATTTGTTTTTCTTTATCCAACATATATTCGTAAATAAAATTTTTAATGCATATAAAATCAAAAGGGGTAGCGAAGCGCACCGGGTTCAGCTAGTAAAGTATAAAGTTGTTAAGTCCTACCGATAGCAAACGTGTTGCCAACTATAATTTAGTATTTTCATTCAACATTTTTCGTTTTAGTTTTGCCGCTATTTGTCGGTTACTCAAAAAATGTATTAGAGATTCCCTTTCTGACATTCGGATCGGTATTCGGGTCATATAATCACTGATAATTTTCATAATTCACGGCGGCGTAATATTCATAAGACGTACTTTGTAGTCTGACCAAGTGATCTTATTGTTTTTTATTCCTTCGTGTCAAATCAAAATACATTTAATTAGTAGTAGTGTTTTAATTTTTTAAACATTTTCATTATTCTAATCTATTATGAGCCGTGATGATAACTTGTGCTGGTTTCATGGACGGCTCTCTCGTGAGTCTGCGGAAGAAATATGCAGAAGTGGTAAATTGAATGCAATAAGTTGATGTGTATTTGTTTAATTTATTGTATGTATGTATGTACATGTATTTTTAAGGCGAGGAGGATGGAACGTTCCTTGTCCGTGAAAGCAACACAGCGGCGGGTGATTTTGTGCTGACTTTATTGCATCAGGGCGAGGTTTGCCACTATCAGATAAGACGTCATGGAGAAGATGCATTTTTCTCAATTGAAGATAAAGTGAAGATTTTGCACGGATTAGACACATTGGTAGAATATTATCAGCAGTCCGCCAACGGCTTAGTTACCAAACTTGGCAAGTTCATACGTAAGGATCCGCCACCGAATGAGACAAGAAGTCATGGAAACACAAATTTACTCCATCGGGCTGTAATGAACAATAATCACATTGTTGTATCAGAACTCCTGAAGTGTGGTTACAGAAATGTGGATGCCAAAAATCAAAATGGACAAACTGCTATGCACCTAGCTGCACTATACAGCGATGAAGCCATGTTGAACCTATTATTAAACGCCGGTGTGAATGTTAATTGTATGGATACGGATAATAACATGCCCCTTCATGTAAGATAAGCTTTACGTTTATGCGACCTTATTTCTAGTTCGTTTTGCCTTTTAGTATGCAGCCAGACACCAACCTGGTAGTTTTATAAGACGTTTAATAGTTGCTCAGGCTAATGTTCAGGGCAGAAATATTAGAAACGGATATGTGCCATTACACGAAGCAGCAAAGCATGGAAATTTGGAAGCTGTGAAGGAATTGCTGGCCGTTAATGTACCTTTGCTGCCTCGGACATCTATGGGAGAGTTCCCCATTGATTTGGCAAAGGAAGCAAACCATGAACAAGTTGTTGAATTTTTGGATTCATACAAATTAAAACCAGCTAGTACATTTAGGTCACAATGGTATCACGGAACATTAAATAGGGAAGAAGCGACGGAAGCTTTAAAGAGTTTTGCGTCAGATTTCAAAGCCCAGATGGAAAAAATAACATCTGAGAACCCAAATGCTAATGAGAACGGTGATGCTTCTGGTTGCTTTTTAGTGCGATTTTCTGAAAGAAAAAATGCAGTTTCTGGATATGTTTTAACACTTCTCTATGATAATGTTGTCAAAAATTTTATAATTTCAAAATCGGTAAGTTTGTTTATACATTTTCCAATAAATAAATCTTTATTAGAAATAGAATGTGTTCAGAGGAATTCTTACATCTAAAACGTAGAAAAACCCGATTATTATAATATAAATGAAATACGTTTAAATTTAAAGCAGTTACTTAATTTTTTAAAGGTCTATTTATTTTTTCTAATGAACATCCTTAATAAATACTTTTCACAGAAAAATTGACTACGACGTGAATTTGACTCCTGTGCAACCTTATTATATTGGCCATGGAAGTTGGAATAAAGTAATTAAGTTAAACCTACGACCAAGGTGTATTTATTCTTGCCTCTAAACACATTTTTTTAAATATTATAAAAAATATAAATATTTGCTTTGTTTTGTTCTTGTTGACGATTCAATCAATTGTTTGCCTAAGTTTGGAGTATTCCCCCATCGGTTTAACTTCATTATTAAAGGGAGTAATGTTTTTCAAAAAGAAACTGAGAGCTTTAAAATATCGCTTCCAAAATCAAGATTTTATTCCAGGCGAAAGAAATGGCGACATTTCTTTTATAACTTTTTGATATGACTATTTTGGAAGCAGCAAGCTCTATATGTGTCGATCATTCACAAGTAAATGGGGATCACATTCACTTCTTGCCTCTCCCAAAAATCATCATAACAAAATATTATAAAGCTACCAGCACATTTTTAACTAAGAACTCATCGATTTCTGTAGGTTAAAGAAACTGTTTTGGCACAACTTACGTGAAAATGTTGAAATTTAAATTTTGTAAAATATTTTCATTGAATTTATTTTATTTTATTTGAATGAATTATTATTTGGTTTTTTAGTTTCAAATCAATCAAAAGTCCAACCCCGGATGCCATGACTAATATAATACGCAAGTATTGTTCAAACGTATTAGTACTCCCTTAAACTCTATTGCCTAACTATTCACTAAAATTTGGTCACTTTCCCATATTCTAGTAAAAGTATTATATATCGTACCATAGCACAAGTCTGGTAGTCTAAGAAATGTCTTAAATTATAGAAGAATTGCTGTGCCATCTTGTTTGAAAAAATAATTACCTCGGTAATTTCTCTCAAAATTTAATACTTATTTAGTCCATATCAGCATGGCTTTCTTTCATAGTGGTTTCTCAACTACTACAAATCTTATAAAATTTACATCAACGGTTATAAAAGGGTTTTTTCAGCGTAATCAAACTGACACTATGTATACCGATTTCAACATAGTTTTTGATAGGATTAACTATGATTTATTGCTCATAATTCCAAAAAAAAAAACTAATTCACTTCAGAACGAAGTAAATTGAAGCGTGGGAACGTTCGATTTAAAAAGAAAAACTTGCGCCTCTTACTACAAATATTTTATTATTTTTTTTTTAATAAAAAACCATATTACAATATGTAAAAACTAACTTAGATTTGATTCATTCATGTGGCTTTATATAGAGTTGCTTTCCGAAGTTGTTCTTTGAAGATTTATGTATTTAATACCTTCGACAAATTATTTAAAGGGATAAACTATTTCATAATCCATGACTCCATGTCATTGTCCTTTTTCTTTTAAACATATTAAAAAATATTAGAAATCTTCCAATTTTCTAAGAAATAATCATGATGAAAATTGCAAATGGCCTGTGAATTAGAATTGATTGAAGTTTCAAAATTACGTTTGAAGATGTAGTGAACTCAATTATCATTGTTAATAAAGTCATTGGCGTTATAATTTTTTTATAATGTTTTTTTATTATTTAATTTATATTTAGTCGAATTTTTTATATATTGATGACGGTCCATTCTTGCCGACTCTAGAACATTTGGTAGAGCATTTTATGCGTTTTGCTGACGGATTACCTATTAATCTCAAATATCCTGTTTTGCCAAAACCCAAGCCTCCTCTACCACTCTTTTCAACAATGCCACGCACATCTAAGAAATCCTCAGAAGCCATACCTGTGCCACAATGTTCGCCTAATCCACTGCCTAAAAGCCCTGTCGTGGAGAACAAAACTCCTCTATTGCCATCAAAACAATCACAAACTTTGTCGAGCATTCATCACAATAACAATGTGAAGAAAAAATCAAAGGAATCTGTTTTCAGTACATTGAAGTTGAGGAGTCCCAAAAAAACTAGCATACTAGAGAGTATGAGTACTTTACGTAAAAGTAAACCAAAACAAAAATCAATAACATCCGATGACAAACCACAAGTACCCTCTAGCGAAGAAGAATTAAAGCAAGCCGAAACATTGTTGAAGAATTTGTCTTTTTCTACCGATTTTGCAAGTCTAAATCTAGTTAATAATAATGGTCAGCATGGCTTCTATAATGTTCCAAAAAATAATGCAGCAGTTAACAGCGATGTTGTCAATGCATCTATAGATTCCAGAATGAAATTGGAGTCGAAATCCAATGAAGAAGTGGAATATTTTACAAAAAGTGATATCGTTATTGAAAAAGAGCGAAATCAACAAAATTCAAGCGAAAGGTAACACCTTTTTTCAATATTCAATAAAATATTTCTATATAACCAGCTTATAAACATCCTATCGAGTCCTTTTTAGGTTAAGGCCTAGTTTCGATTTTGTTATCTCTTTTTCACATTTAATGTCTTACAGCTTACCGCCAACTACTAATGGTTATATACCAACTGTCGATATTCGAGTGTTTACAGAATCTAACATTCAAGGTGCTCGTTACATGACTAAAGATGAACTTGAGGCATCCGCAGCCGAACTCCGAGAATTTTCTCATAATCCGGAACGTTTGGATTCGTTAATATCCACAACATCTAATGAAAGCGAAATGATGCGATACCTAAATCGACAATCCAGCACAGATTCTTTAGAAAAAGGCAATGCTAGTTCAAAAGTTAATTACCTGATACCGCCTGATTGTCTTATACTTGAAACGATAATTGGAGAGGGTGAATTTGGATCGGTTTATCGTGGATTCCAAATTCAAAGAATCGGGACTGATTTGAGACGCCGGGAAGTGGCCATCAAAACATTACGCGACGAACACTGTCGCACAAACAAACAGGAATTTTTACGCGAGGCCTCAGTAATGATACGACTGAAACATCATTGCATTGTTCAGCTTATAGGAATATCGAAAGGCAAGACCTTGATGATGGTTCAGGAGTTGGTGCCATTGGGTTCGATGTTACATTTCATATTGGACCACAAGGAGAAGATAAATCCAAACTATGAACTAAAATTGTGGGCTTCTCAAATAGCATGCGGTACGTGTGAAAGCTGGAAAACTAATAACTTTGTAGATAACAAATTATATTTTATTTACATAGTGAAATGTAAAGTCGAATTTTAAACTCAATGTACTTAATATTATTTCAGGTATGCAATATTTGGAGAAATATCACTTTGTGCACCGGGATTTGGCAGCTCGAAATATTCTACTAGCATCAAGAAATCAAGCCAAAATAAGTGACTTCGGGCTATCTCGTGCTTTGGGAAGTGACAACGATTGTTATCAAGCCAGTCAAGGAGGTAAATGGCCAATTAAATGGTATGTTGAACATTGAATTATTGCTATATATCGCAGGACTAATGTAATTTACTTCATAGGTATGCTCCTGAGAGTTTTAATAATGGAATATTTTCTCATGCAAGTGATGTGTGGTCATTCGGCGTCACATTGTGGGAAATGTTTTCTCTTGGAGAACCTCCTTATGGCGATATACGTGGTGTCGATGCTATTAAATTGATTGAAAGTGGCCAGCGTTTGCTTCAACCTCCTCTATGTCCCGGACACATCTATGACATAATGTTAAATTGTTGGAATTACAAACCGAAAGATCGCCCAACGTTTCGATATTTAACTGAATTTTTTGCACGTGACCCAGACTATCAAAACATTTTAGAATTAGTAAGAACCGATCATATTAGTTGAACAATACTAATGCCTGTTCTACATTGTTTCCATTTACTCGATGCAAGTGCAATCCTTATATCGTTGATATTTTGATTTTTTTTTTAGATTTGTGAAAACGTATGGTATTTTATAGTAGAGTATTAGTAAAAAAAAACAATTATTCCATTATTTATAATATACATAAAAATGTATTTAAGTGAATATGTATTGACGGAATATGTATCGTTGGTATCTATTAAGTTTGTACTAGTTCTAAGTCAAATAAAATATTCGACAAACAATTATACAAGATGTTTTAATCTCTATTATGATAGTATTTTATGTGTTACAGTTCCTTCTAGGGCCGAAAGAAAACTGTGTTACATTTGGCTTTAGAAAATCTTCAAAACACAGTAGTTTAACAAAAACTTCTAGATTTAATATGCAATGTGTTAAATTACTCAAAGAAAGAATAATTATAGAAATAACAAAGACATAAAACTATAAAGATAGTACAAAAGGCATATTGCAAAAATGCAAAACTAGTAGAACTGCTTATTAAAGTTTTTTTTTACCAAAAATGTCGCTGTGTATAATAATTTATTCACCACGTATTTGGGTAAGCACAATGAATTCAAACACGGCTTCAAGATTTAATTCCACGACGGTAGGTTCTCCGATACCAGATAGACCCTAAACAACAATATTATTGTTTCGGTTATTGACTACCAATTCACTGCATATATTTTCATGAGTTTTTATTTTGCTGCTTTTGGTACCGGAATCTCATAATCCGGATCCTTTTGGTCCGTTATGGGATTAAACAAAACACCAGAACATGCTTTTGGTGTGCCACCCACACAGTTCTATCTAGGTGCGATAATAATGGATGAAGAGTGTTGGTACATTTTAAGAATTGTTCCAGTTTTATCCGGTTGCGATACTACAGCGAACGGGATTACATGACAACGTATTGCAAAACGTAGTTACCAGCGGCCTACAACCTGGTTATAGTAACAATGTTTTGAGAAAAGGATCGTACCAGAACGGGGAGGGGGATTAGCTTTTAGCAGAATTAATTGTTCTCCAACCGTCACAAGTTGCACAGATGCCTATACTTTGAAATTTTGTACGCCCGACATATTTAGGTAACATATTGTACAGAGTGAGATGAAAAAACTACAACCAACTTCAGACTGCTGTCATTTCTTAGCCACTCGTCCGATAGCTAAATTAAAATTATTCCAGTGACAGCTCATTATATTGTTTACAAGCGTACAAAAGTACTTTGGTGAGAATTTTCCAGAAAAATAGTTATACGTGATGGAATTCAAGTGGCTATAGTTAGAGCACTCCAGCAGTTAAATATGAATAAATCTTTTGTGTTTCGTACCATCGCCCGTTACAGTGATACTGTAGCGTAGCCCGACGTCAAGGAAGTGGACGGAAGAAAACTGCAACATCAGCAGAAATGGTTCAAAATGAATGCGTGAGCTGAACGCATCGCAATATTCTAATGGCAAATATTGAAAATTGAGCTCGGGGTAAAGTCATTGAAATTCCAAAAAGTGCAAGAACTTAGACCACAATAGAAAGAAAATAAGACTCAAAAGAGCTAAAGAGTTGCTTCGCTTGACCGAAAGTGGTGAACTGCCAAATTTGGGTTTCTTCGATGAGAAAACATTCGTTGTCCAGCAGTTTGTAAACAAACAAAATGATCGTGTTTACTTGGCAAAGAGGTTAGCTGAAAATGTTGAAATTTAAATTTTGTAAAATATTTTCATTGAATTTATTTTATTTTATTTGAATGAATTATTATTTGGTTTTTTAGTTTCAAATCAATCAAAAGTCCAACCCCGGATGCCATGACTAATATAATACGCAAGTATTGTTCAAACGTATTAGTACTCCCTTAAACTCTATTGCCTAACTATTCACTAAAATTTGGTCACTTTCCCATATTCTAGTAAAAGTATTATATATCGTACCATAGCACAAGTCTGGTAGTCTAAGAAATGTCTTAAATTATAGAAGAATTGCTGTGCCATCTTGTTTGAAAAAATAATTACCTCGGTAATTTCTCTCAAAATTTAATACTTATTTAGTCCATATCAGCATGGCTTTCTTTCATAGTGGTTTCTCAACTACTACAAATCTTATAAAATTTACATCAACGGTTATAAAAGGGTTTTTTCAGCGTAATCAAACTGACACTATGTATACCGATTTCAACATAGTTTTTGATAGGATTAACTATGATTTATTGCTCATAATTCCAAAAAAAAAAAACTAATTCACTTCAGAACGAAGTAAATTGAAGCGTGGGAACGTTCGATTTAAAAAGAAAAACTTGCGCCTCTTACTACAAATATTTTATTATTTTTTTTTTTAATAAAAAACCATATTACAATATGTAAAAACTAACTTAGATTTGATTCATTCATGTGGCTTTATATAGAGTTGCTTTCCGAAGTTGTTCTTTGAAGATTTATGTATTTAATACCTTCGACAAATTATTTAAAGGGATAAACTATTTCATAATCCATGACTCCATGTCATTGTCCTTTTTCTTTTAAACATATTAAAAAATATTAGAAATCTTCCAATTTTCTAAGAAATAATCATGATGAAAATTGCAAATGGCCTGTGAATTAGAATTGATTGAAGTTTCAAAATTACGTTTGAAGATGTAGTGAACTCAATTATCATTGTTAATAAAGTCATTGGCGTTATAATTTTTTTATAATGTTTTTTTATTATTTAATTTATATTTAGTCGAATTTTTTATATATTGATGACGGTCCATTCTTGCCGACTCTAGAACATTTGGTAGAGCATTTTATGCGTTTTGCTGACGGATTACCTATTAATCTCAAATATCCTGTTTTGCCAAAACCCAAGCCTCCTCTACCACTCTTTTCAACAATGCCACGCACATCTAAGAAATCCTCAGAAGCCATACCTGTGCCACAATGTTCGCCTAATCCACTGCCTAAAAGCCCTGTCGTGGAGAACAAAACTCCTCTATTGCCATCAAAACAATCACAAACTTTGTCGAGCATTCATCACAATAACAATGTGAAGAAAAAATCAAAGGAATCTGTTTTCAGTACATTGAAGTTGAGGAGTCCCAAAAAAACTAGCATACTAGAGAGTATGAGTACTTTACGTAAAAGTAAACCAAAACAAAAATCAATAACATCCGATGACAAACCACAAGTACCCTCTAGCGAAGAAGAATTAAAGCAAGCCGAAACATTGTTGAAGAATTTGTCTTTTTCTACCGATTTTGCAAGTCTAAATCTAGTTAATAATAATGGTCAGCATGGCTTCTATAATGTTCCAAAAAATAATGCAGCAGTTAACAGCGATGTTGTCAATGCATCTATAGATTCCAGAATGAAATTGGAGTCGAAATCCAATGAAGAAGTGGAATATTTTACAAAAAGTGATATCGTTATTGAAAAAGAGCGAAATCAACAAAATTCAAGCGAAAGGTAACACCTTTTTTCAATATTCAATAAAATATTTCTATATAACCAGCTTATAAACATCCTATCGAGTCCTTTTTAGGTTAAGGCCTAGTTTCGATTTTGTTATCTCTTTTTCACATTTAATGTCTTACAGCTTACCGCCAACTACTAATGGTTATATACCAACTGTCGATATTCGAGTGTTTACAGAATCTAACATTCAAGGTGCTCGTTACATGACTAAAGATGAACTTGAGGCATCCGCAGCCGAACTCCGAGAATTTTCTCATAATCCGGAACGTTTGGATTCGTTAATATCCACAACATCTAATGAAAGCGAAATGATGCGATACCTAAATCGACAATCCAGCACAGATTCTTTAGAAAAAGGCAATGCTAGTTCAAAAGTTAATTACCTGATACCGCCTGATTGTCTTATACTTGAAACGATAATTGGAGAGGGTGAATTTGGATCGGTTTATCGTGGATTCCAAATTCAAAGAATCGGGACTGATTTGAGACGCCGGGAAGTGGCCATCAAAACATTACGCGACGAACACTGTCGCACAAACAAACAGGAATTTTTACGCGAGGCCTCAGTAATGATACGACTGAAACATCATTGCATTGTTCAGCTTATAGGAATATCGAAAGGCAAGACCTTGATGATGGTTCAGGAGTTGGTGCCATTGGGTTCGATGTTACATTTCATATTGGACCACAAGGAGAAGATAAATCCAAACTATGAACTAAAATTGTGGGCTTCTCAAATAGCATGCGGTACGTGTGAAAGCTGGAAAACTAATAACTTTGTAGATAACAAATTATATTTTATTTACATAGTGAAATGTAAAGTCGAATTTTAAACTCAATGTACTTAATATTATTTCAGGTATGCAATATTTGGAGAAATATCACTTTGTGCACCGGGATTTGGCAGCTCGAAATATTCTACTAGCATCAAGAAATCAAGCCAAAATAAGTGACTTCGGGCTATCTCGTGCTTTGGGAAGTGACAACGATTGTTATCAAGCCAGTCAAGGAGGTAAATGGCCAATTAAATGGTATGTTGAACATTGAATTATTGCTATATATCGCAGGACTAATGTAATTTACTTCATAGGTATGCTCCTGAGAGTTTTAATAATGGAATATTTTCTCATGCAAGTGATGTGTGGTCATTCGGCGTCACATTGTGGGAAATGTTTTCTCTTGGAGAACCTCCTTATGGCGATATACGTGGTGTCGATGCTATTAAATTGATTGAAAGTGGCCAGCGTTTGCTTCAACCTCCTCTATGTCCCGGACACATCTATGACATAATGTTAAATTGTTGGAATTACAAACCGAAAGATCGCCCAACGTTTCGATATTTAACTGAATTTTTTGCACGTGACCCAGACTATCAAAACATTTTAGAATTAGTAAGAACCGATCATATTAGTTGAACAATACTAATGCCTGTTCTACATTGTTTCCATTTACTCGATGCAAGTGCAATCCTTATATCGTTGATATTTTGATTTTTTTTTTAGATTTGTGAAAACGTATGGTATTTTATAGTAGAGTATTAGTAAAAAAAAAACAATTATTCCATTATTTATAATATACATAAAAATGTATTTAAGTGAATATGTATTGACGGAATATGTATCGTTGGTATCTATTAAGTTTGTACTAGTTCTAAGTCAAATAAAATATTCGACAAACAATTATACAAGATGTTTTAATCTCTATTATGATAGTATTTTATGTGTTACAGTTCCTTCTAGGGCCGAAAGAAAACTGTGTTACATTTGGCTTTAGAAAATCTTCAAAACACAGTAGTTTAACAAAAACTTCTAGATTTAATATGCAATGTGTTAAATTACTCAAAGAAAGAATAATTATAGAAATAACAAAGACATAAAACTATAAAGATAGTACAAAAGGCATATTGCAAAAATGCAAAACTAGTAGAACTGCTTATTAAAGTTTTTTTTTACCAAAAATGTCGCTGTGTATAATAATTTATTCACCACGTATTTGGGTAAGCACAATGAATTCAAACACGGCTTCAAGATTTAATTCCACGACGGTAGGTTCTCCGATACCAGATAGACCCTAAACAACAATATTATTGTTTCGGTTATTGACTACCAATTCACTGCATATATTTTCATGAGTTTTTATTTTGCTGCTTTTGGTACCGGAATCTCATAATCCGGATCCTTTTGGTCCGTTATGGGATTAAACAAAACACCAGAACATGCTTTTGGTGTGCCACCCACACAGTTCTATCTAGGTGCGATAATAATGGATGAAGAGTGTTGGTACATTTTAAGAATTGTTCCAATTTTATCCGGTTGCGATACTACAGCGAACGGGATTACATGACAACGTATTGCAAAACGTAGTTACCAGCGGCCTACAACCTGGTTATAGTAACAATGTTTTGAGAAAAGGATCGTACCAGAACGGGGAGGGGGATTAGCTTTTAGCAGAATTAATTGTTCTCCAACCGTCACAAGTTGCACAGATGCCTATACTTTGAAATTTTGTACGCCCGACATATTTAGGTAACATATTGTACAGAGTGAGATGAAAAAACTACAACCAACTTCAGACTGCTGTCATTTCTTAGCCACTCGTCCGATAGCTAAATTAAAATTATTCCAGTGACAGCTCATTATATTGTTTACAAGCGTACAAAAGTACTTTGGTGAGAATTTTCCAGAAAAATAGTTATACGTGATGGAATTCAAGTGGCTATAGTTAGAGCACTCCAGCAGTTAAATATGAATAAATCTTTTGTGTTTCGTACCATCGCCCGTTACAGTGATACTGTAGCGTAGCCCGACGTCAAGGAAGTGGACGGAAGAAAACTGCAACATCAGCAGAAATGGTTCAAAATGAATGCGTGAGCTGAACGCATCGCAATATTCTAATGGCAAATATTGAAAATTGAGCTCGGGGTAAAGTCATTGAAATTCCAAAAAGTGCAAGAACTTAGACCACAATAGAAAGAAAATAAGACTCAAAAGAGCTAAAGAGTTGCTTCGCTTGACCGAAAGTGGTGAACTGCCAAATTTGGGTTTCTTCGATGAGAAAACATTCGTTGTCCAGCAGTTTGTAAACAAACAAAATGATCGTGTTTACTTGGCAAAGAGGTTAGCTGAAAATGGGATGGGAATGGGCCAAAATACCGCGAAACAACATTCGGGCAGCGTGTGACGGTTTCATTGGCCGTTCGAAGGCCATAATTCGTGCCAAAGGTGACCAATTTTAATAGATCATATTCTAAAATTTGATACTATTTCACAATTTTTTTGCTTTCAGTCGAAATTTAAAAAAAAAATGTAAAAATGATGGCGTTTGACTTTGTTGCAGTTTTTTTTATCTCACCCTGTAATTTCATTTCATTTATTTCATTTATTTATTTATATGTTGCAATGAAAAAGCCATTAGGCCAATAAGTATCACAACTATCAGAAAACTACAAAAGTGTACTCCAAAATAAAAAAAAAAAACATCTTAAAAATATTACATAGTGTATCTTAAAATAACCTAAGAAATCATATGTAAAATATGGACAAAAAGGCTCCCCAGCCAATGAAAATAAATTTAAGTCTATTGCTGGTAATAAAAAAAACAATATTGAATCAAACGATACAGTGACGTCAATATCATTAAAACAAACAAATTGTTAACCTCCATTTGCCTCTACAAAGTTTTCAAACATGCGGCGAAAAACACCGCGGGAAAACGAGAATTGTCGTAGCTCAGCTGGAAGCTGATTCCAGATTCGTGCGGAACGAACTATGAAAGATCTTTCATATAGAGACGTAGAAAAATGAGGGAAAATTATTTGCGTATTCCTAGTAGACCGAGAGAACACTAGCCGATCTCGCTGAAAACCGGGAAGATTTAAACAGATACATTTATATAGAAATGAAACCACTCGTTGTTTAACAAAAGTAGAGAATGACACTCCTAGAAAGAGGACTGTATGCGCAGAAATATGGTCAAAACGACGCAAATTATAAACATATCTTACAATGATGTTAAAAAGTTTTTCTAATTTCATTAAATGCTCATGTGTTGTACCAGAAATCACTTCAATACAGTAGGAAATTACCGAAAATAACATAGAATGAGCAAGATTTCTCTTTACAAATAAGGGCAAATAGAAATCAGTTGAGTGTAATTTTCGGAGCATATTTATAACTTTGGGGTACAGTGCATCAATATGCAAAGAAAAATCAAGCTTGGCATCAAGGACAACACCTAAACAATTTATGCGGTCAACAAAATCCACCGCTACACCATTAACCTGTATATTAATACCGCTATTCAGTCGGCAAGGTGAACCAAATGTCATTGCTTTTGTCTTAGAAACATTTACTACTAGATTATTATTTCTCAACCAACGTGTATTTATGCTATTCTCTAGCTGAAAGTCTGATTGACCTTTAAAAAATAAACGAATGTCGTCCGCATACATAAACGGATGACAGTCGCAATTAGTTAGAATGCTACTAATGTCATTGACATATAAAACAAAAAGAAGTGGACCTAAAATTGAACCTTGAGGTACCCCGCTGTAAATATTACGTAAGCTGGATGCCTCGCCATTATATGAAACATATTGAGAACGTCCAGATAAATATGAAGCAATTAATTATGTGGTGAAATACGTCGACCAAGTACGTCAAATTTTAAGTAACGCTGTATAGTTTTGCTCGATATTTTGTAACAATTTGTACATAATTTTAAGCAAAAATCCAGTAAAAGAAGGCGAAATGTTAGAGAAATGTTGACAGTCATGTGCTAAGAGTGAACTGAATTTTAGGGAAGAAAAAATGTCCAGTACAATTTGTTTTACTTGCTGCTTAGGGTTATTCTGCAATAGTTTACGGAATGTTGTCTATTTAAATTTTGTATATGTTTTTGTACGAAAGAGAAAATTTTTATACTCACCTGAATAAATCTTATAAAGTAAAGACATTCCTATTATAGAGTCCTTGAAAATCGTTATACAATATAGTTATACCATGTGCGGCATTCGAAGTTATTGCAGATAATATAAAATCAAGAACGACATTTTAGCACTTAATAAGAAAATTGCATATATTTAGTAAAAAATAACATAATGATATTGAAAAAAAAATATACTTTGATAATGAATATATTATTTGTTAATAATAACAAAAACTAATTGCACTGATATAACAACTACTTGTAAAAAGATGGCTTAAATCAAAAATTCAAATCTATTTTTCACAAACCATTTATGGCTTGTTTCACATTGTCTGTTGACACCAATTTCAAGGCACTTATTATTCCATTCAAATTTTTTTCGTTGTAAGGCTTATTTTGGAGCTGCGATACAACTGGAACGCGTTCGCCGCTAGGCATTAAAATCCCAATGTCAGTCATCAATCCCTAAAATTGAAATTGATATTTAAGGTGCTTCTAAAAGCTTTATGCTACATACCTTGTCCACTTCGACAATTAATTTCATCTTTAACTGCTTATCGTTGTCGGCTTTCAGAGCCAACTCCTTCTCGACACTAAACTTTGGAGTTTTGCCAAGGACCCAATCCCAAGAGCTAAACTCTTCTCGTAAAGCATTAATGCCCGGGAACCATTTCTCTGTTGGGTTTACCAATTGAAATCCGCGCTGTTTCATGGTTTGTGTACTACCTCCGTCCTCGAGTTCGGTAGCAGATGTACGTAAAAACTCATATCCCACTGCGGACAAAAGCTGTGGAACATTAACTGTGCGATTGACATCTACGAGATTCTTGATGGGAGAACGAACTGAAGCCGTCGCCTTGCTAATATAATTTGCCTAAATAAGTAAGAAGACAATTTTACAAAAGCAGTCGCAGATTGTATTGTGTTTTGTACATACATCTTCTTTCACCAGCGATTCACCCAAATGTAATTTGTTTGCGCTCACTAGCAATGTGCAATGGTGATATGCATTGGGATGTCCCAGTTTAGCTGCCGTACCAGAAATCTGAAACAATATGTATATATATTATATAAATTGTATAAAAACAGATCCATTAAATTATTTGGGTTTGCACAAAATAATGCTACTTAATCTAATTCCTGATGGAATGCCGAAATTTTATTTGTATACCCTCATCCATATTACCATGTATTTACCCTGCCAAATTACTAATTTAAAACACTACTAATGTATGTTTGTGTTTTGGATCAGCGTGAAGTTAGTAATCGTTTTCTCCTAGTTTTCTCAAAAAATATACACATGTCGTTTTTCGCGATGTGTCAAATAAACACATCAACTTGTTGCATTTGTTATTACAAAATTTCAAGTTACAAGACTTTAGGGACAGAGTTGTGTTTCTCAAGTGTAATTGTTCCACAATACCAAGCTTCTCACCATAATCAAGCATTTTGTACTGCCGTATTACCCAAATTGAAACATTAAAAAATATATTGTTCCTGATGATGTCTTCCGTCGGAGGACGAAATATCGAAAATAATAAATAAATAAACCTGGAGCTCAATTTTATTTAACTTACATTTGAAATCTTTTATAATAAAGGTCGAATTAAATAACTAAAAATCAGAAAATAAAAAAAATAATAAATTAATTGCGTTGAAAAAAATGCAACATTTGCATTTTTTAATATTACACCCCTACCTTATACCTGACATACGTCTGTGAAATGTAAAGAAATACCGCACTCTCAAATACATAAATTTCGCGTAAAATCTCTACTTGCCCATAGCAGCATTTGCGCATTCTGGCCACATCGTTGTTATATTCAGTTAAAAATTATCTGTGCCAATCACACAATTGAAGTTAATAGTTGAAACACAGTAGGATCAAACTTCTCCATTTTTATTTTTGTCTGTCATAGGTTGTAGCACGCATTACGAACTTGAAATACGAAATTTGAAACACTTCCGGTGAAAAATGTCGCTAAAATCATCAAAATACCGAATATCAGGAGGTACCGTTATATGGGGACTATACGAAAACGTGAACGTATACACGTACATACGTACGTATACACGAACATGTATTTAATTGTCCAGAGGATCTCTGGCTACAGCCCATAAAGGTAGCAGAATTCCTAAACATGGATATCGAAGAAGAACCAGATTAACCGTCTATTAACCACAGAGCATACATTTCGCTGTAACATTTACGATCGTACTGCCAAATTAAATCGCTAAATCGGCTTTATACTGATCCAGTATAGATTCATAATGAGTATAATATTTTTTAGATTCGTTCATGTTACGGTATCCCCGCAAGTGATCCATTGCAGCTGCTATGGACTAGTTACAATATTGTCCTATGTTCTCATGTTTTATCGTTTGCACATTCATTTCTTGTTTTTTTCTTTTGCAAGCGTACCATAGAATTATCATGTGGAGTAGCTTTGAGACGACTTTGATCTAATGGAAAGCTAGGACATCGTAAGGTTCAATAGAGTAGGTTTTCATAGCATTTGTGTTATTTTTGGACTGGTCCTCGTCGGTATGGACTATAATTTACACGATTGTATAGAGTAGTCGTATTATTTGCAGGGATACACGACAAAATTGTATGTGTATGAGTATCAAATCAACTTTTTGGTGGCGTAACTTGCAGGACTGCATTAAATAAAATAATTGACAAAATAATCCAAACTAGCCCTTTTTTGCAGATACTAGAACAATGCAAAAATGTTTACAAAAATACAAACTTAAACGAATACACTTAATTCGAGTGAAAGTAATTTATTTTTCAAAAACAGGCTGATAAGGTTGGTCAGTACGAAAATCTGACAAACGAGTTTGCCTTCAAAAAGTTTTTTTAATATGAAATTCAACGAAAGGCCAACTCACAATAATAGAAAAACCGAACGAAAACAAACGAAACGATTAATGTACCCCTCTCACGAAGACACAAGCTTTTAAATTTTTTTTTAACCGTTTGTACTCCAAAGGAAACAAAACCACAAACATTTCAATGCCAGAAGTACACAAACTAAACGATTGCCTTAATGTACTTCGGATGTCAGTTGCCGAGCTGTATCGTTTGCGAACAAATCGCCGGGTAAGGTTTGCAATCGTTTGCTGTGCGAAATGATGATGATGACTTGTACATTGAGAGTTGTTATTCTTAATATTTTAATATTATTAATATTAATATTTTGTACATTTTTACATTTTGTGATGTTCAAATAAATGAATAAAAAGGAATAATTGTAACTTTTTATTAGTTTGTACATTATTTGTAAAGAATTAATATATCGAAAAACGTTTGCAGACGTTTGCAATGAGTGTGTTTCGTTTCCAATGTTTCGTCATCCAGGAAAGTACATTTCAGTTCTGAATTAGTTTCCACTCATCTACACAAACAGTACAAAATAAGAGACAAGTCCTGTTATCTTAATATCGGTTTTGTTTCGTTTTGTACTTCAAGAAAACACAGAACGAAACAATTTCTAACGTAAAATAGTTTATTTTCCCTCGTTGAGAACAACTACAAAGATTATCAAATTGTGGACTTTTTGGCCTCTTACAGCGTTGCCTAAAATTCGACGTACTTGGTCGACGTTTTTCACCACAAAAAAAAAAAAAACATGTATTTATATGAGTGCTACCCAAGCACGTCAAACGTACGAAATTTCAAAGTTGAACCTTCCATTTAACAATGAAAATTTAATAATAATTATTATTATTTTTTTGTGTTGAAATAGAAATGAATAACAAAAAAGTGAATGTTTGTAATTGGAAAATCTAATTGTTGGGAGAATTATGAAGATTATCCATTTTTAAAAGGATTTTCGTTAGTAGTTTTTAAGATATAGGCCTGATGTACAATACATTTTACCACAGTGGGGAAGTTGTATTTGTGTACGCTACGTCGAATTTTAGGTAACGCTGATAGAAATTATAAAATGAAGTAAGGCCGAGTTTATATTAAGCAATTGTGTCATGGTACAATTATTACAGGTAACAGCAAGTCCCAGCTGATTTGACTCTATAGTAATACTAGTGTCAAACTCGATATGACATTTTGTGATTTAATTCCATTTCTTGATATACAATAGGTATACCCTTTTTTGATATAAAATTTCACTGCAGGGCAATGTGAACATATTTTTGCCTAATAATAAGAAAATTGCCGTTGTACTTTACTAAAATCTAAAAACGATGGTTCGGAAAATTTTTTTGCGGTTAAGGAACAGCGATACCACATTAGATAATGTATTCGTATATTTCATGTTTCCTAAAATTGCAAAATGTAGAATACTTTATGTATGTATGCTGATTGGTTTCGGCTTGAAAGGGATGTTGCCTTTTCGCGATTTTCTAGCGATTGCTTGAAGTGTTGAGAGATTAGGACCAACAGCTAACAACTACACATTCAGGGAAATGATGTGAAAGCATTAAAATTAAATATTTTAAAAACTATTCTTCTGCATTTTCAATTTAATAATACAAATTTCAAAAATGTATATTTTTGAAATTAAAATAATTTATTGAAAATTAATTAGTTTGTTTACATTTTTGGACAGAGGACAGAGAGGGCTAAGGGGAATGGAAATTAAAAAAAGATTGCTGGTGCTGGCAATTTTCTGGCATTTTGTGTTTTTATTTTTATACGAAAATAAAAAAACAAAATTGCTGAATTCATATGGGCTATTATAAATGCATGAGGCAAGTTCAAAGGAGAAGGATAAAAAATTGCAACTAGAAAACTCGTCTAGTATAATTCTGAACATAAACATGATACAAGAGTTGAATATCTGAATTTATACATGGACGGTAGGTCGGGTATTAAGTAGCCCTCTAAATCGTGGTAGAATAATAAAATACCTGTTTATAAATATGATAGGGAAACGGATTTCTCCGTAGCTGTATTTGAAATAAGGCTACCTTTAAAAAATTTTACAGTTGTTTAAATACAGTATTTCTGGAGCTATTTTAATGGTAAATACTTTGGCGGCAATAGAAAACAATGTTAACAATATCTACCCGTCAATGTTAATTTGTAATCCCGCTTCAGGCCGCAATTATGGCCCGATCCTCATGCAATTGAGCATGGGGTTCAGAATAGAAGCCTATTGTTTTTGGGATGAACCCAAACTACTTAGAGGTTGAAATTGACAAAAAAAAAACAGAAAAATTTCCCGATTTTGCAGTTGCTCTATAGGTCCCAATTATAAACCAATCGACGAATTTTGCATGGCGTTAAAGTTTAGGGCTAGGCAGAATCTAGCCCTATTTATGTAAAATATTTGTAAAAATACGAAAATTTCCACTAAGCCGAAAAAATTTTTAATCCCGCCGAAATCACAAAAGCATTAATAGGTCAATTCTAAGCACTATAGTAATACTGTTAGCCAAGATATAGAATATATAGCAAACTAGGTAGAGTCGCTTTAAAGTTCTCAAATAAGGACCAATAGACATAGTCATTTTTAGGTTAGAGTTTGGGACAGCGCTGAACCTAGCATTTGGGATGGTCATCAGATCATATTTAGCCGTTGAAATAAACTACAATTTTGTATGAAAAAACACCAAAATTAGCGAAATCACAAATACATGAATGTATGTATGCAACCAACTTCAGACTGCTGTCATTTTTAAGACACTCGTCCGACAGCTGTTAAAATTATTCCAGTGACAGCTCATTATATTGTTTACAAGCGTACAGAAGCATTTTGGTGAAAATTTTACAGAAAAAAGTTATTCGTGATGGAATTTCTTTATATTTGGCTGAAAAACCACAAGTGTCTACGGTTAGACCACACCAGCATTTAAATGTAAATAAATCTTTTGTTTTGTACCATCGCTCGTTACCGTGATACTGGTAGCGTTGCCCGACGTCAAGGAAGTGGAGGAAGAAAACAGCAACATCAGCAGAAATGGTTCGAAAAGTAAAGAAGCGACTTGATCAAAGTCCGCATGGCAGGGGCCGAAAAATGGCTGGTGAGCTGAACATATCGCAATATTCCATTCGGCAAATATTGAAAAATGAGCCATTGAAATTCAAAAAAGTGCAAGAACTTACACAACAACAGAAACAAAATAGACTCAAAAGGGCTAAAGAGTTGCTCGCTTGGCCAAAAGTGGTGAACTACCGAATTTGGTTTTCTCCGATGAGAAGACATTCGCTGTCAAGCAGTTTATAAACAAACAAAATTATCGTGTTTACTTGCCAAAGAGGTCAGCTGAAAATGTGCACCTTCGGTTGGCCCACAGTACTCAAGCGCCGGCCATGGTGATGTTGTGGGGCGGCGATGGTCGTTCCTCGCTCGTATTAACCGAAAGTGGCATCAGAATAAATGCCGAATATTATCCCGAAAATATCTGGAGGGTATATTAGAGCCTTGGGCACGCTAACATTTTGGCTGCAGACCTTGGACATCCCAACAGGACTCAGTACCATCGCACTCAGCACGCGTCACCAAAGAATGGTTACAAAATGAGGTTCCTCGCTTCATTTCCAGCTCACAATGGCCACCAAAATCTCTGGATACCAATCCGTTGGACTATTGTGTCTGGATATTTTGGAAAAAAAGGCACTAAAAAATACCAAAGTGTCGATCACCTCAAGCAAGCGCTTCGCCGGGAATGGACCAAAATACCACAGAACAACATTCGGGCAGGTTCATTGGCCGTTTGAAGGCCATAATTCGTGCCAAAGGTGACCAATTCGAACAAATCTAAACTTATTCTAAAATTTGATGCTATTTTCGACATTTTTTGCTTTCATTTAATAAAATCATGGTAAAATTAAAAGTTTAAGTCATTTCAAATAAGCATTACCATCTTTGCATTTTCTGTAATTTACCTTGTCACATTTGTCACGCCTTGTCAAAAAATTGTAAACATATGGTTGCATGAATTTACCTCCTTGATTCTACCGTGAATAAAATTTAAAAAAAATGTAAAAATGATGCCGTTTGATATTGTTGCAGTTTTTTTTATCTCACCCTGTATTGACACAATAAATTGATACCTTGGAAGGGTTACCTTGTTTCGATTTTAAATCGAAAACTATAGCAGGAATATGAGAGCATGTAGACCTATTTCCTTTTATCTTCTAACCTTTTGTTGGCTTTTTTAACAATAGTTGAATTGTGTGCTAATTTATTTGAAATAATTTTTCCCAACCGTCAAACTAATTCACGTACTTACCTTTTTGTCATTGATGACAATATCGTCGCGTTTATTAATCTCCGCCTTTATAGCCCATTCGCGGAAAAGAGCACGAGTCAAAATATTCAAGTTATATTTTCGATTGTAACGTTCGCGCGGGGTGAAAAATGTGCAATTCAGGTTACCCCTATCGTGATATACGGCCCCACCACCGCTATTGCGTCTAGCCAATGTTATTCCCTTATCCATAAGTTTGGATACATTGGCCTCGGTGAATGGGTTTTGATGGCGTCCTATTACGACACAAGGATCATTGGCCCACAACAGCAGGACATGGTGTCGACTAAAATCGAAATGGCGGTATAGCCAATCCTCTAAGGCAAGATTGGTAAATATGTCATACGATTGCGAAATGAACACAGATTTTTTGATGTCTGCTGCATTAATAGTTTCGCTATTTCCAACAGACTTCCGTGTTATTTCATTGTCATTGTGGTTACCATTATCGTCATTCGATGTCGTCGATGAGAGGGGAGAAGAGGAGGAGAACTGATGTCGTTGTGGCATCGCTGTAACGATACGTAACATTGCACGCCACTGAAAACCAGAAACCCCACCTCCCATTACTTTAACTCCCATTAGTGCATTCATGATTGCGGTGGATTGGCTGTGACCAGACAGTCTTCTGAGAACTGATAGGGTTTGAATAGTTATTCTTACTGTTGTTATGCTATAAAAAGCAGGTGTTCGGGTCTTGACTGTCTAAATGTGCGATTACTCGCTATTTCGTCGATCTGGAGATGTAGCTCTCTACGTTCTTATCTCGTCGTTTTTATTTTTGTCTATAATTCGGAGTAACGACGCACCTCACGTTCTCATCTATACACAAGCAATTGCACGATGGTGATCTTTACGCTCGGCTGATAATTTTGATATTTTTCAGTGTCTGACTACAAAACAGCCAGTATGCTTTTGCACTTTTTTACAAAATTATTACGTTTTTAATATTTCTACTCGTTTTTTTTTCTTTTGCTCGATGTCTAAACGGACATACGTTGCTGTTTTAGAATACACGTAGAATCGCCAGTACAACGGAAAAATACTAAACAAGAAGTATTTTCTTATGGTTGACTTTGTTGTTGTTTTTATGTAAAATAGGAGACAAAATGCGCTTCTGTTGTCAAGTCGTCTCTCAGTAGTTCTCGCAGAAACAGATGATTTCGTTTGTCGAATAGGGGTTCGTTACGGGCGTTAAGTTGTAGATTAGAATTGATTCTCGATGCTGATTGTAAGAATGTTCTTCAAAAAGATCGCTAAGGTCACACTACAAATTATATTAATATTTCTGATGTACAGCACAATGTAATCGTCGATTTGAAACTGGTGTCAACAGAGTCCTTTTCTTTGTTCGTTTCTATTTGTTGTCTTATTTTTGGTTTGCTAGAGTTTTTTGTTTTGTATTTTGCTTTATTGTTTTGTGGTCAAAGAGGTATGTTGGACTTTAGCACTCGTCGTTACACATTTTTGGCGTTGTACTTGATGCTGAGTCTGCGGCTGTGACCGATATTAAATATTCGTGGACTGCTTCAGTCTGATGAAGCCACTTCCAAGTTTGATGAAGACCACTGACTCGAAGACGAAGTCCCAAACAATCCTTGCTCCAGTCCTTATTCATTCCTCTGAAACCCATCCAAAGGTTTAAAGGGTATACAAAATGTTCACATTCACTTCAACACAAAAGTTTTTTATCTACACGCCAGACACTGTTCGATTGCTTGAATTTATGATTACGAATTATGTTCCGATGCTACTGGAAGATAGCTATGCTCCGGTCCTTTGTTTGCTTTATATTGCAAGTGGCAATTGCATGCGACTTAAAATATTAACTTTTCTTACAAGGAAATCCAAGTCAAACAAAGACTTTTAAAGTGCTGAAGTTGACAAAAGTTTAAGTTGTCAGTGCTTTATTTTTCATTTTTACGCCGTCAACTAGACTTAAGGGGGCTTCACATGTAATGATTCACTGCAGATCTTTTATACTCATTGTACAATTACTACGGGTAATAGCAAGTTCTACAGATTCGTTGATAGTAAAAATAGCGGGTTTACAAATTCACTTCTTATCGTGTTTATACACAAAACAATTGAAACTTATGTTTTCCATAGTAAAATGTATTGTAAGTGGTCATTTATCAAATTTATTAACGTGTATGTAAAAATTCTTGTATGGCCCACACTTATATTTTGTACGAACGGTACCAATGCACCTCATTATCCACCACTGCTAAACAAAGGAGCGGATGTCCGCATTCCAGATTGGAAAAATAAACTTCTGTACAATCCCTTTTATGTGAAACATTCTATTAATTGTCGTCGCTTTACTACACTAAAAGAGATCCAGGTCAGCTTATTGAAAACTTAAGATTCACTGAGCACTTCATCAACAAAAAACATCACTGTTTTTGCTTTATGAATTACAAGCAGATAAATTACTAATTACCCAAATGGTTTTCCCTTTTGCTTGTTATGGAGTTATCTGAAATATGGGCCAAATAACTTTAAATTATCCGGAAAGTCGGTTAAAAAATATGATAACAATTTCGGTTATTAACGACATTTTCATTTTTTGAATGAAAAATTAAATTAGTGAAATCTGTTAAAAAGCACATGACATACGAACCATTTATTTTTGCAAATAATTTTAAATATTTTTGACATTTCAATGTTCGTGAGCGTTGATGTATATACCTTGATTCTTCTACCATGGTCCCATGGTAGAAGAATATAGGTAGACGCATCGACGCAGCTGCTGGGACAATGAACTGTCAAACCAATTTTGGAATTATAAATGTTGAATGAAAAATTATTTAAATTTGTAAAAATTGTTGAAAAATGCATATCTTTACAACCAACGATTTGTGTCGTATAAGAAAACATATAAAAATCTACTTATATTTGAAAAGAAATTTAAAAATTTTTGACATATCAATGCTTCCAAGCGTTGATGCATCTATCTGAATTTTTCTACCATGCATGGTCCATGGTAGAATAATACAAGTTGTTACAAGTGTAGTTGTACAACAAACATAACAACAATAAAGTTAAAAAATGTTCATTTTTTGGAATTTGGATTATAAAATCTTAAATCAAGAAATATAGTTCCTAAAATATTAATGTTAAATGTTTTCATATCATTACCCTGTAATGTAAAGTTGTTAGGTGTAGGTCCAAAACTGCCAACATTTCAATCAATCGCTGGAAAACCGTGGAAAAATCAAAACCCCATTCAAATTAAAACTAAACTACATGTATACATAAAGTATTCTATTCTCAATTTCAGGAAACTGGATTCATTCTCAATATTAAATCGCACCCCAACAATTTTCATAAGTTCTGCTACCAACACCGCACTATTTTTTGCCCTATTAACACATAGTTAGTTAGAGTCATAGTGCAGTGGTGTATTTCCAGTGGTTAGAAAACCTTACATATATATAGATCAATTGTCACGTATTCGTTTATCTCCTGCATAAATTTGCCTCCCAGATTCAATATTTTCAAAATTACCTACCTTGTTAGCATTGCCCATACCAATGTTTAATATCCCAATTACACAGCCTTATCAGGAGGCCTATTCTGTAACTTGTTAACAACTTTAAGGTGAGAGTACATAAAACGCTTTTTTGACTGGCTTAAGGTCAGAGTACATAAACAGCTTGAAGTCTTCGCATGGCATATTTTGTGACATATCATAAAGGGATGCCAGAGTCACACTCAAATCCTGCCGTCGTTGCTCCCTTTAATCTGACATTAAAATGCCTAGCCATGATGGCAAGCTGCTTATGTACCCTCACCTTTACCCTCCGATTATTCTCAAAATTGGCATATCCTAATGTTTCTGCCAACACACATTCTAGCGTGGAGATGTGATAAATCGGTTTACCGCTTCTGCTTAATAGTTTATTCGCATAAAATTGGAAATAAGTGTTCGATTTTCCTTAAGCATGGTACATCCCAATATTTTTTATCAATATCAATATTTTTACTGGTACCTCCCGAACAAAAGATCAACATTTAAACATATCTTACATAAAGTGGATGAAGTAATAAAAAGAGACGTAATATTTATACCAAATAGACCCATTAACGGTAAACGATTCGAGTTCAAAAGAATTTGAAATTTTTTTACCCAGAGTACAGTAAAAAAATAGTTTTTAGGTTAATCCTTTGGCATATTTTATAAATTATTGTACCGTAATACAAATATTCATGTGTATTGTCCATAATATTCCGAAAAAAGTTTAAGTGTTGCATATCATGCATTCATATTCCACACAAAGTCTTCTGCTATTTTAAACAAATGAACCCTTTTCGAGTAAAAAGTTGAAAAACGTAGATTCTTCTATTTAAATAGGTCTGTTGTTACATCTCGATCTTCGTACAAAACTTCGTTATGCATAATTGTGGTTTGATTACAATCTTTATTGAACAGACTTACGGACGCGCATGGCTCGAGGAGGTATCCAGAAAGAAAGAAGTTTATCGTATAAGGTAAGTACCAATTTTATGCCCTCCGCCATTCTATAGACCGTATATTAACTTCGGTTTCGTTTGTAACTCCTCGAAATACTCATGTTAGACCCTACAATGATGTCCATCTGTTGTAATCACGCTATTAAATTTTGCACAAATGTATTTTTGCCAGTAGGCAGCTCGAAAATGGGCCATGTCGGTTCACGTCTTCGTATAACCCCCATATAACAATACCACCTAATATTCGGTATTTTGATGATTTTGGCAACATTATTCATTTAAAATTTTCGTATTAGCAGTTCGTAATGGGAACTACAACCTATGACGAAAAATTGTATATGCAGGTCCATGTCTTCGTATACTCTCACCATACCTCCTTTTAAGCGGTATTTGTTGATATCAGCGACATTATTCATCGGAATTGTTTCAAATTTTGTATTTGAAGTTCCTAATGACTACTACCCCTATGACAAAACAATTTTGTATGCCGGTCCACGTCTTCGTATAACCCTCATATGACGATACCTGCCATAATGCGGTATTTTGATGATTTTTGCGACATTATAATTGTTTCAGATTGCGTATTTGCAGTTCGTAACCTATGGTGGAAAATTGTCTATGCAAGACCACATATAACGATTTTCATATAAGTGGTATTTCTCGGAATTTTTTGAAAATGTTCAATTTTTTTCAAATGGTGAGAGTATAAAAAGTTCGGCCGAACTCAGTTGTTTTTTTTTTTTTCTTGTTCACTTTTACTTTTCTTTCTGACAATCTTTATATCACCACCTTTGATACATAAATCAAATATTCTCAGTGTTTTTGTGGCTTTTGGGAACAGATTAGATGTATTCTGCAATAAAGACGATATGGGGCGGGGATGAAACTAAGCTAATAATGAAAATTAAATGGGTGTTGTGTATTATTTATATTTGTTGCATAATAGGATACATATTAACATTTACTTTCTGAAAATAAGATTCATTGATCTAGAATTTTGAAATTTCTTTTCTTTTGCATTAGGCCGGACCACCTCGGTTGATGTACTCCATTTCATCAACACTGATAGGTTTGCGCCAGTAACGTGGTGGCAATTCCCAATCTTCGATTACACCTGGATTCTGTAAAAAGAAAGAAGAAATTATCCCTTTTTCCAACATGGGCGACATGTAAATTATACGTCTAGCGACGATACGAGTTGAACTGTTAGTTATGATGTTTTACTTTCTAAATTAAAAGTTGTTAGTCACAAACGATTACATTTTTTGTTTCCAACGTATTAGGATATGAACTCGCCTGGTACGATCCTTGTGCTCCAGCTGCTGTCAACCCCGGATAACCGCCCTTACGGAATTTGATCAACGGAATACGTTTGGCCGATTGGACGATCGCAGTTCGCAACACCATTTTGCAAAATATTTATTTCTTCCGAGAAAATAAATAAAAAATTGAGTCCGTCCCAAAGAACTAAAAAATGTTATACTATGACAACCGATTTTCCCTTTATGCTATCGGAAAAATTAGCGATATAACCGATACGATAACCGATTTTCACTTTATGATATCGAAAAAATATGTTTCACTTAAATGAATGCGTGTGCGCTCCGCGTCTTTAATGTAATGCTGACAATAAGAAGCGTTGAAATAATCGTTTAAAGCCCGTCTCCCGAGCATAGTCGTCGAAAACGGGGGTCTCCATATGTTTGCAAGGTAGTTATTTGAAAAGGAAAGGCTATGTTTACAAATTAATGGTCTGTTCCAGAACCTGCAAGAATCTACTAGTTTTGCCAATTTCTGGAACAGACCATAGATTTGTATTCGCGTCAATTTTCCATATAACCCCCATCTAAAACTTAAAAATAATGTAATATAAAAAATAATGAAAAATTCAAATAAATTCACTACTTAACTATTATATTTATAATGCAAATAATACAATACTATTACTATTTAAAAAAGTTTACAACTACGTTTCCTATTCTTGACTAGCGCACTATTTTGACCTATTTAAAATTTTTTTCGAAGAACACTTCAAATGAGTCAAAATACAACAGGTAAATCATGCATACCTAAAAATTTAACTTCAAAAATAAGACAGCAATGCTCAGTAAAAACCCCTTATACCAAAAACCAGACAGACATGAAAGGAACAACCAACCCAAATGCAATCAATCGGACTAACGTGGACAACGGACCGGAATGGTAAAAGACAGTATTGTACGTTAGGCATTTTATAATAAAAAATATTAAAAATGAGGCTAATGACCATGGTACAATGTAATAAAAGTAACCCCATTTCAAATTAGCATTCCCAGCTCTGCATTTTTTGTAATTTACCTTGTCGAATTTCAATGTATAAAAAGCAGTTGCCACATCTGATTTTGTGTGTACACAATGGATTTATGAATATATGTATATTTTGACAATGAGATGTTGCCAAATGTATAAATTTGAAAAAAAATGTAAACATATGATTACATGACTTCATTGTCACAGTTTTGGGTATAATCATTGTACAATAAAAAGGAAAGGTAGAGCTACCAGCTGATTACAATTTTTTTGAGTGTGCTCGACTACTGCCAATTTTGTATATATATATTTTTTTTCGAACGTTCCCACGCCTCACATTCCCATCCCTGCCGACCGAGAGGGCGACCTCCCTTTACGGAGGGATCGCGAACACATCATGATCCGCATCATAATGGGAATTCAGAAGGAAATTGAAAACCAGCTACAGAATCTAATTCATCAGCTAGTTTGTCAAATAATAAAACATGTATGTTAATTGTTTAAAAATAAAATTATTCTAGATTTAATAACTTCTAAACTCATACAAAAATCTACATTACAATACACAGAATTAAAGTCAACACACATTTTACTAAGAGGTTCGCCCATTGAATAATTCGTGCGGTGAAAATCAGTATATAATAATTTGTAGTATCTACTAGATCTAAACGGAACATTAATTCTAATAGATGAGATTAGGAAATCTGAAGGTATATTACCATTTAATATTTTTAGTACAAACATGGAGTTCAATATAATTCGTCTGCTTTTAAGTGTAGGCAATCTAATTAATTTTAGCGTGTGAACCTCGTAAGGCAAATAGCAGAAATTGTTTTTGCACGGATTCTATTTTATCTGAATATTATGCATATTGAGGATCCCATACAACTGAACTATATTCCAATATAGGTCTAATAAGAGACGTAAATAACTGTTTTGTTATATATGGATCAGAAAATTCTTTGGCCCACCGTTTAACAAAACCTAAAACACCATTTGCTTTATTTACCATTGTTATTACATGGCTATTAAAATTTAATTTTGGATCCATCAAGAGGCCTAGATCGACAAATGAATCTACAGTCGATAATGAATGACCGTCAATATTATATTGTAATATCAGAGAAGATCTGGAGAACCACATATGCTTACATTTGCTTAAATTTAACTCCATACAATTTAACCTGCACTATTTAAAAAGGCTATCTAAATCGTTTTGAAGTAAACTAGCTCGTTATCACAATTATGGGAAATGAATAATTTAACATCATCTGCGTACATTAACAATTTCGAGTAATTTATGGAATTAGGTAAATCGTTGATAAATAAAAAAAGAGGACCGGTCCAAGGTGACTTCCTTGCGGAACACCCGATGGAACGATCATCGTTTTAGATAGATACCCTTCAAACAAAACTAGTTGTGATCTATCTTTTAGGTAAGATGATATACATTTGACTAAGTTTGTGTTGAAACCATATAATTTAATTTATATATTAGGAGTTCACCCTATCAAAAGCTTTACTAAAATCAGTATAAATTGTATCAGTTTGTTTACGCTGAACAAATCCTTTTATTACTGTTGACGTAAATTGTATAAGATTTGTTGTAGTTAAAATACCACTACGAAAACCATGCTGATATGGACTCAATATAGATTGAATTTTCTGGGAAATTATGCAATAATTAATTTTTCAAACAATTTTGGTATGACACTTAATTTTGCAATTCCTCTATAATTTGACACATTAGTAAGACTACCAGACTTATGTAAAGGTATAATATAAGATTTTTTCCAGAAAGTAGGAAAGTGACCAAATTTAAGTGAATAATTAAACAATATAGTTAACGGAAGTGCTAATGTTTCTGAACAATATTTAAGAATTATATTAGGTATGCCATCCGGTCCTGGACATTTAATCGATTTTAAACTACGCAGACTATTGGACACATCCTGACGTTGTAGAAAAGGCATACAAATTTGATCAGCCTGTGATAACTTATAAGGATACGAATCTTTAATTTGGCAAGATGTACTGGAATAGGTTGTGGCAAAAAAATCTGCGAAACATTCAGCAATATCTGTGCCTGTGACAAATTCTTCATTGTTATATTTCAATACTGAGGGCTTTGAGGAAACTTTTCGTTTTAGATTAACAAAATCATAAAAAGATTTAGGATTGGATTTAAAATTATTTTTAATCTTGTCTAGGTAAAGATTATACAATCTACGAGACTCTAAAGTATATTTAGATCTAGCAACAGAGTAATTAGTATAGTCTATTGTTAAGCCTGATTTTTTATATTTACGAAAAAGCTTATTTTTAGATTTTTTTAAACTTGATAACTCAGAGGTTATCCATGGATATTTATTTGAATTTTTAACTCTAGTGGTTGGAACACATTCCAGTTTAAATCTATTTAAAATATCATAAAATTTATCAATTACATATTCTAAATCTTTATGGCTGTTACACAGGCACACAGAAGCCCAATTTACGGAGGAAATGAGGGTATTAAATTTTCGAAAATTAGTTTTTTTGTAATTAAGGACAGTTTTAAATGAGTCGGACTGACTTTCTTCAAATACATAACTGTGAGTCATGGAGATATATAAAGTTGGATGGTATATATCTTTAGGAGTACATATTGGAGGAATTCTGAATATATCAAAATGCTGTGCTATATTTATAAACGCCAAATCAAGAATTTTGCCGAGGGAATTTTTTACACTGTTTATTTGATAAAGATTTAAGTCACACAAACTATTTATAACATCAAATGTATACTGGGAACTGTTCATTTCGGATGGCAAAGGAATCAAAGCTTCAGAATCTGGCATTGGAAGCCACCTAATGGAGGGCATATTAAAATCACCAAGGATCAGAATGCGATCGGAATCTTTCATTTTTTCAGTGATTAAATTTATTGCTGATAAATGCTGATTATAAATGTCAAGTGAGGATGAAGGGGGAATATAAGAGCAAGTTACAAACAATTTAGATATGCCCAATTCAATGGAAACACCAACAAATTCTATATCAAGAAAATCATTTAGATCAATTAAATTAGTGGTATATTTGGTATCAACTGCAACAAACACGATCTTTTCTAAATATTTGATATTTTGAACATAAAATTTCACTATTTAATATAGATGTTTTTAACCAAGTTTCGGGGAAAACCAATAAATTATAATTGAAACCAATGCTATCAGTATATAAACTGGTTAATTTTGTATTAAGCCCCCTTACATTCTGATAGCAAATAGAAAATGAGTCATTTAGTTTTTTGGCACCGAATCTGGTCTAAGAGGCAAATGAGCTAAATTATCGGATCTCTCCACAAATTCTTTTGCCCTAGCAAGCCAAAATTCTTTTAAAATCGACTGTACAAAAATATTTTCAGGCACAACGATTTTGAAAGAAGAAGTATATGCATTTATTTTTTTATTGAAAATAAAATATTTCCAAAAGCAATAATTGGAAGACACCTTGATTAAAGCTTTTAACCATTTCAGCTATGAAATTGAAAGACTAAACAGTTTGGATCATATTTCAGGCATTTCATTTATTTTTCGCGCTATTTAACTCATTTTAAAAATAAGAAAAAAATATGAAAAATGAAAACAACTTTTTCATATAATTTCGAATGAATCTGACAAAAAGCGGACATAACTTCAGAACTGTATTTCTGTAGTTTTACGAAGCTATTCTACATCCTTATTGTACCATGGGTATAATGTCTTCATGTTCCATCAACAGAGACAACATTGTTTCCAATGATTTTTTAAGCATTAAAGATATGTTGCCAAACTCGACAAATTGCAGAACATTTATGGATCTCATGGTTATTGTGCACGGCTAAACTTTATTTTCATTTAATAAATTTTTCTGTGCAAAGTTCTTCTATTGGAACTATACCACTAAATAATTTTTTAGTTGCCTCTACCATTACTTGCTCGGTCTCTGAAAATGCATATTTGTCCAGAGCACCAAGCACGTTTCTGTTGAAAATTGCTGCCGTTCTTTCCATTGGTTTATTTACGTATGCATATGACTTGTAGTAACTTTGCGCAACACAACTTCTGACCTTTGTCCAAGTGGATTTCATATTCAAAATTTTTTAAAATTATTGCTGGGGAAGTTACTTTTAATCATGGTACAATGAATACAAGGTAGGCTAACTTTGAAAAAATTGCAAGTATAGAGGTCTACCTGTTTGGCTTGTAAT